CATTCGCCAGAATCCTCTTCGGGATTCGCCAGAATCCTCTTCGGGATTCGCCAGAATCCTCTTCGGGATTCGCCAGAATCCTCTTCGGGATTCGCCAGAATCCTCTTCGGGATTCTCCAGAATCCTCTTCGGGATTCGCCAGAATCCTCTTCGGGATTCGCCAGAATCCTCTTCGGGATTCGCCAGAATCCTCTTCGGGATTCGCCAGAATCCTCTTCGGGATTCGCCAGAATCCTCTTCGGGATTCGCCAGAATCCTCTTCGGGATTCGCCAGAATCCTCTTCGGGATTCGCCAGAATCCTCTTCGGGATTCGCCAGAATCCTCTTCGGGATTCGCCAGAATCCTCTTCGGGATTCGCCAGAATCCTCTTCGGGATTCGCCAGAATCCTCTTCGGGATTCGCCAGAATCCTCTTCGGGATTCGCCAGAATCCTCTTCGGGATTCGCCAGAATCCTCTTCGGGATTCGCCAGAATCCTCTTCGGGATTCGCCAGAATCCTCTTCGGGATTCGCCAGAATCCTCTTCGGGATTCGCCAGAATCCTCTTCGGGATTCACCAGAATCCTCTTCGGGATTCGCCAGAATCCTCTTCGGGATTCGCCAGAATCCTCTTCGGGATTCGCCAGAATCCTCTTCGGGATTCGCCAGAATCCTCTTCGGGATTCGCCAGAATCCTCTTCGGGATTCGCCAGAATCCTCTTCGAGATTCGTCGTAATCCTCTTCGGGATTCGCCAGAATCCTCTTCGGGATTCGCCAGAATCCTCTTAGGGATTCGCCAGAATCCTCTTAGGGATTCGCCAGAATCCTTTTCGAGATTCGCCGGAATCCTCTTCGGGATTCGCCAGAATCCTCTTAGGGATTCGCCGGAATCCTCTTCCGAATTAGGTTTTGTTAGAATCCTTCTGGGATTCACAAGAAACGTTTTCGGAATTTATGACCACCGGAATCTCCTCCATCATCGAATTGTGCTTCAGAAAGAACTTTCTATGCTTCGACAGCAAAATCGACCTGTGGGTCGAATTCGACACCTGAGAATGGATCGCATAGAATCACATCACGATTCAACTGATCGACCTTCTCCGATTTGTATGAAACTTTTTATAATAGTTTGTTATAGGCAATGATTCACATTGTTGCTGAAATTCGCCCATTTTGGATCATGTAAAATTTTCAAAATGGCGGCCTTAATTTTTTTTTTTATATTGTTGCACGGAAACGGCATTTCTGATCGAACTGACGTCTGAGACGAACACTAATTTTTTTTAGACGTCTCAGAAGTTTCATACGTCATTTCGATCACAAATGCCGTTTCTGTGATACCATTTTTTGAAAAATGCCAAAGACGCCAACATTAAAATGAATGAATTTTTTACAAGATCCAAAATGGCCGAATATTAGCAAAAATGTGAATCATTACCCATAACAAACTATGATGCAAAGTTTTATGCAAATTGGAGGAGAAGGTCGAGTTTTTCCGATTCGTCATTTGGCGTGGAACTGCTCATTGTTGAAATCCTAAGTTAGCATCTTGTTCTAGGAAACCTGTTCCTGAATCACTATCACCTACTCCGGTCCCCGTATGACAAAATAATCACCGGGATTCATTAGGGGATTCGATATTCTGAGGATGCTCATACACGAATTTTCCTTCTGCATGCATTTTGACCACAGACAAACAGACGTAAGGCTTTCGTCTCGATTGTCGTACACGCATTTAACGTTCAATTTAAATATTGTTAATTGCGCGAATCCTTCACCGCCTCGCGGATCGCTTTGACGTTTTTATATATTCTATCGAACTTGTATGCAACATTGTTTGAAATTTGGTAAGCAAGCTAGTAGCTCGCGCGAGATGTCGTTAGTAAGCTCCGTGACGATATATTTAAGGAAAATTTATTTAAACAGTTACGTCTGTTTGTCTGTGATTTGACGATCTCAACCTAGAGTCGGTGTATAATGAGTCACGCCAAGAGAAAAACAGTTGAACTCGCATCACGGTTTTCGAAAGATTCCCTTTCTTTTAACTTGGCAACAGAGGACTTCTGCATCAACTTCAAATGACTTCTAGCGAGGAAAAAAATTAACGGCTGTAGTAAATCATTATATCAGTGATTTTGTCGAATTATCTTAAAGAAAAATAGTAGAAATTGTCATTACTGATCATTACAAAACGTATCGCATGACAAAAATGTAATGCTCACTGCGTGTATATGATCATTTCTTCGGTTATATTTTATATTTAATTGCAATACCTTTCGTGGACCTTTCATAGCATCGTAATGCTTGTTTACTTTAGCCGGTTTGACAGTTCAATAGGTAGACTTGGCTTCACTCTTGGCGTGACTCATTATACACCGACTCTATCTCAACCATAGTGGCTATTACCTAATATAGCAGTTAATACACGCTTTTCCCGGCTTTTCCTGATTTGCCGTCAAACCGAATATGAACCTGTCACAAACCAACTCAAATTCGCCATCATCGACCGAGTAAATTTTCCAGGAAAAACTTTTCGAATTAGAAAAAAAAATCGGGAGAGGTATTAGAATACTCCTAGACTGAGTTTAATTTCTTCATATTCGAGCAGATCTTTGAGGAAAAGCCACAAAAATTTTACCCAGTCTTATGAATGATTTACGTTTTGTGCGATTTTGAGTATAAAATCTCTCAGTCGATCTCATCGGGCGTGCAGATATTCATAGTAACAGACCTGTCGATGTCAACTGATGTATCCAAACGAACTGTCAAATGTACGGAAATGGTCGTTTGGATACAACATGGCGGCACACATCGGCAGGTCTATTACTAGACTCTCCATAGTCTTCTCCAGTAGCATATGTATTGTATAAAAATTGCATATGTATTGTTGTAAGAACAATCAAAACATTATGATTCTGCATGGAGAACTCAATACCCATCACGGGTTGACTCGCTGCTACTGGGAAGTGGTATTGTTTCGCAGTCCCAGTTAGCCGAATAAAACCTCGGTGGAGATGCTCTTAGCCGCTATTTGAAACAAATTATGAATGCGACAATTTTATCGAAATTTCGGAAAGGTAGAGTTGGAAAAGCTCGTGCCTTGTTTTAATAATTGAAGTAAAAACGAACTTCTTAAATTATTTGTTGATCCAATTAGTCGCCTAATAAACAAAATTGTCCATCAGTTACAACTGATCCCAACCCCCTTAAAATACATGCACGGACAAAACTTATCCAACGGCCATAAATATCGACTACAAACACAGAGGAAGTACGCGAAACAGAAAAAAAACTAATCCAAAAGCACAACAAAAATCAACGCGCAATCACTGAACGCCAGCAGCACAGACAAAGGGAAAGACCAAATCAATCAACACAGAAGCTCAAGACGAACTAGCTTGTTTTTTTTTTTTTTTTTTTTTTTTTTTGGATTCAGCATCAAACACAAATGTTAAAAATCGCCAAGACAGTTTTGTTAGACTGCGATGGTGTTGAGTTAGTACTGTTACCTCTTTCTCGAGAAACGTGTTTTTTGAGTTGAGAAATGATTCGAGAGAGTATGAGAGCTATATCCGTAAATAGTGGTTGTTAGTAATAGAGAATAATAATCGTGAGAGGGAAAACCGAAAACAATACAGCAATGGTGTGTGGCTCGTGGTGATGTTATCCAATCGAATTAAATTTGTGAGGAAAGTGAGAAAAATAATAATTAAAATGTGTTAATTTGGTTGGCAGATTATTGCGAATGATACCAGAAAGTGACAGAAGTAAATGAAATTAGGGGGGGGGGAAAAGAGGTTAGTGCAACGTTTGAACAGAGACGATTTGTGTGTTTAGTAATAAATGTGGTGCGCACACGGGAAAAGGTATTATTTTTTAGTGAAAAACTGCTACTCAAGTTGTTAGTTTGTAAGTGCATTTACGAATGATAAATAAAGGATTAGTATTACGAATTAGTTTGAAGACTCTTTGAACGACGAAGACGACGACGACGACCACAGAGAAAACAGAGATAAAGAAGTTACTACACCAAGAAATGAAAAATGGTACAAGAAATAAGTCCAGTATTGTGATGACAGACCATAAGAAAGTATGGAACAAAAAAAAAACAAAACAAAAGTCGTTTGTAATTTTTAAACAAATATAGAAATTTATTTCTGGGAAAACAGTTTTTTTTTTGTCTTAAAATTGTCTACAAGAAATAAGTTTAACAAAATCAGTACAAAGGACGTAAGGGTTGTTATTCTTAAAAGAAACTTTTTTTTTATATAACACAGTAGTAGATTTGATTCGAAATCGAACTGAGATATCTGACTAAAATTGAGAAATTGTATCTTTAAAAGAAAACAGTGTTGGGAATATCATCGTTTTTAGTTGGTAGGAGGTTATCAGTCACTGGCACTCTCTTTCTCCCTCTCTGCCTCTCGCTCTTTCGTCTTTCGCACGCGTGCGCGTTCGTGTGGATGTGTGAATGGGAGTAGTTAGCGATAGCGAAGGATATGTTTGTGTGTGCGTGTGATGCAGCTTCTGCTCTCTGCTTCCCCTGATGGGCGCTCGTCTCTGTAGCAGTAGTGGTAATCGGTCGTGGGAAGAAAATTGAAGAAGGCAGGGAGTGTGGGCGGAGGGGGTGTTCGAAAGAAGGGGGCGCGTGTCGGTTGCACAGAGCGTTTGTTTGTTTTTGTTTGCGTGCACTATTGAAGGAATGCAGTATTTACTTGAACGTGTGCGTGTTACGGGGAATTGTTTCTGTACAATTTTTTGTTCGTTTTGATTTGTTTTTATTGAGATTTACACTATGGATCGCTCTGTCAACTACAAAAACCAAAAAGGAAAAGGAAAAGAAAAAAAAATAAACCAAATAAATATACAATGAAACAAAACGAGAAATGTTTCTTTTAAAGAAGAAACGGATGTTAAAAGAGGAACGGAAAAAAAATGATAACTAATAATAGATAACAACCCAAAACAAACTTCGAAAGAAGCGGCTAATACAACTAGGAAGATAACAAATACTACGCACCTTACTGTAGTGGCTGGATCCGACCGTACGAATACCGTGACCATTGCCATGATCCATATAGGTTTTTACCTGCGTGTGGCGGCTGTTATCATAGATGCCCTGGCCGCCGGCCCCTCCGGCTCCGGCCGCATTTACGGCCTGCTGCTGGGAGTTTAGGTGGCGGCTGGAGTTTCCACCAGCGGATCCGCCTCCCCCACCACCACCAGGGCCGCCGTCGTTCGTGATCGTGCTGATCGATTGGTTTTCCTTGTTCGATCGACGGGCGACGTATTTCTGCGGTTTCAGTAAGCTGGAAAGGACAAAAAATCGAATGGTGAGCAATTATGAACATAATGAGGAAGGACGTTTTGGTACTACGCAGCCATTTGCATATGCATCATGCTAACGACGCAGTCATTTTAATATTCCTTTAAAAAACACGAAATATTTCCGACATTACATCTTCTTGTGCACAGTAGAAAGTTATTTAAATTACCCTACTTATGTAATATCCGAACACAAAAATCTTGTTGGGGTTGACCAATGATCTTTTGCACGAGCCCTGTTCCCACTTGATTGTGTGTGTGTGTGTAGTCCCTCTAACCCCCACTGGCGGGCAGTGTTATTATGGAAGAACTCTCTCTACAATGCCACATTTATGGTCATTGTAGACAGCTTTAGTCCGGGAGTTAGAAGGTGATAGCTCTATTGCAGATCCAGCAACCCATTTCGGAATGTCTGGAGAGTCACGCCCATTCCGAGGTTACTTTCACTTACAATAAACCCCGCATGTATGTATTACCTCTATCAATTGGATATTAGTATTACACACACACACTTCCAGTGTTCAAAATGAATTCAGGCACGTATTAAATTGTAAAAAGTATTTAGACTGGTCTCACCATATTAATTTGATCCTCCAATCCATGCGTTTCGTAGATTTGTTTTTTCGTTAATAACTTGAGCACATAACCGTTTCTTGTTGTGTTAGTAATATTAGATGCTAGGTCAGGCTTGCTGAAACTCCTCAAACTCACTGGGGGTTTTTAAACACTCTTGTCCTGCGGGTTTAGCCAGCCCTCACCTCGAGTGAGTGGCGACAGGAATATGGAAGAAGTAAAAAAAACTCTTCGAGAGAGAGAGAGAGAGAGAGAGAGAGAGAGAGAGAGAGAGAGAGAGAGAGAGAGGGAGAGTGAACTTCAGCGAGAGGATGATTTGACGTGCACGGAGATGAAAAACTACCCAGTAAGTACTTTTCCCTCAATTCCGGGATTCAGCCCAATAACCCCAATTTGAGTAAATCGCATATAGTAGTTTCCATTTAACACCAGCAAAACAATTACCTACTCTTAAGTATATTCTACCCAAAATTAAGTTTAATTCACGTAAATTTGAGAATATGCAATTTACTCAAAAGTATCTTATTGGGCTGAACTATATCGTTAGGTCGAGTTTCTCGTTCCTTTTTTGACAACAATAAAGAGTGCAAGTGAGCGGCTAAACTCAATATTAAGCAAAAAGAAACTCAAATTTTTGGTAGAATTTTTTTTTCTCCGTGCGTGGTGCGCTTTTCAAGACTCCGGATGACTTTTTTGTTCGACGCAAGAAGCTCAGAGTTCACCCAGAGTGAGAGTAAGAGTGTGTCATAGAAAACACAAGCTCTGAAGCTCAGTGGAATGATTTGGCAGTAGGCATTCTACTCCTTAGAAATATGCCACGCTCGGCTCATTTCAAACTCGCGAACAAGGCTCCATCAAGCCTGTGCTAGATAAAAGCTTCTTTTATCGATCTGTGTGTTGAAAATACCTAGGAATATCTTTACATGGCCGTGGGGATATAAAGTGAAAGTCGACGAAGATAATCTATCAATGTTACTTAGGACCTAATGCAATGTTCAGCTTTTTTAAACTAGTTCGTTAATTTGGAAGGCTCAATCGCGTTAGCTTTACGGAGCCGATAGTTCATTGTTCTTTGTTTGTAACAAAATTCACTTAATTCTATGTCTAGTAGGAGTTGGGCGGAATACTCGCGGCTTACCCGAGGTTAGAGAGGTACATTGTCGAAGGATAGGATCAGGGGAGGAGGATGTTCAGCTTGATATCACGAAATGATAACTTTATGGACACTTGAAACGAAATTTCAGCACACAAATTAACACATTTAATGCAAAAAATGTTTAACTCGCTGACGAAAGATACGTAGCTAAAGAAAAACACGTCAGCTTTCAAGAGCGGCCTACTGCGATCTCAGCCCTGTTCCCAGTTGATTGGCTGCTAAATTCCATTTCCACTTGAAATCCTGCAGGTCAATTGCAGTTCCACCATTTTTCTTCAGTATGTGCTTCACAATTGACCACTATTCCTCAATTGGCCTTAGTTCCGGAGCATTAGCCAGATTCATCTTCTTGGAAACCTCTCCGACGCCATTTTGATTTTCGCTGTACCGCTGTTTGGTGAAATTTGAGTAGTGCCAAGTAGAGATGGGCGATCCGCTCCCGAGCTGTTCTGAAGACCCGATTCACTAAAGTGAGCTGATGACCCGCGGTTCATTTTTTAGGAACCGCAGCTCATCAGCTCATTAATATCACAAGTCTAAATCATTCAATCCGTTACTTATAGCGGAACTTTTCTAAAAAGTACTCATTACTACACTTACGCATTGAACCGCCACCACGTAAACCAGATGCACGCGTAATACAACATGTGCCTACTGATCGATAGCATCAACGGTAAAAGCAATCTTCCAAGCGGCCGATACAGCGATACAGATATGCATGTGAGGGGTTTAGAAGGAAAAGGGTGTAAGTGACTTTGATCGATTATCTCCATCGACTTTCTCTTTTGATAGCCACAGCTTTATAAACAGATTTTGCGCTATTTTTGCCACATTGTTTGGTTCTCATCTAGCATTCAGAATGGCACACGAATCAAGGAAGCTGAATTATTAACGAAAGAGAAAGTCGATGAAGAGAATCGATCAAAGTAAATTACACCCCTTTCCTTCTAACCCCCTCATGTGTCACACGATGTTAAATTTCTACTGGTTATTATCCAATATATAACGTACCCGGCTCTTATTGCTGATGTTATTCCTCGAGCATATGTGTTCTCACCTCGCCTCCCATCATTCTATGGGGAGTTTAAGATCCAAGCACAAAAGCAAATAACCGAAGAGCGAAATGCAGCTCTCTACCTCACAACTCACATCCGGATCCGAATCATCGGCCCGAATGATTCACTGGGAGCTGTTTAGGATTTTAGCTCTCGGACCCGTCCAGCTCTCGAATCCGTCCTGCTCTCGGATCAATCCAAATCGTCGGATCTTTTTTCGATCCTTCACGATTCAGCTCCGGATCCGGATCTGAGCTGACAATCTGGAGCTGAAGCCGAGAATAGTGAGAGGAATTCTGCTGGAGAATTAACTTCAGCAATAAAATCTGTATGTAGACTGGATTGCATAGCCTGAGAGATAGGTATAGCTCTCTTACATACATGTTTTGCTTTTACTGATATGTTATTCGTACATTTTGCGCGTATTTTGGTTAACGCGATGGTTGTTCAGTTGTTGTATTAGTGGCGTTTTCAATTGCAAGGTAGAGATGTATTGGTTGAGAGTACTTTTTCAATTTTATGTAGTTTTAAGCTTAGAGTCACCAAAACCACTTATATCTTTTACGATTTTGAGTTTGTGTCAAAATTTCTATAATTTAAATGTGAGCTAAAGAACTGTTCAAAAGAATCGGCTCCCCTTAGTGAGCTGGACGGGTCTGATCCGCTCAGCCAGTTGAGCTGTTTTTCCCACCTCTAGTGCCAAGCAGGGCCCCATAAAGTCACTTTCAATCGAAAATCATCAAGTGACGATGAAGCTGTAAACCATCACTTTCAATTGAAAGACATTCTGTATTCTCTTCGAGCAGAACCCCGTCAACATCAACAGAACCAGTTTCGATCAGTTTTCATGCTGTTTGTTTTGGCTAGACTCGTGTTCATTTCTTCTTTCATTGTCAAATGAACTTACTCTTGCGAAGCTGTTCGATCCAAATTAGCGCAGTTTTTATGACTTTTGTTGATTGTTCACTCGTATGCTTATGCGTATGTGCATAGATCTGTGCACGTGGATGTCAAATTTATCATTGTCGGGTGGTTTGTTTACCCATCAATATGGGTATTTCTTGAATCGGGATGACGTCTTGAGATCGAAAATTGATATGCGACACCATTTTTAAATCCAAGATGGCGGCTTTCAGTTTAATAAAAAGTGGGAAATACTGTCAAATACCTATCAATTAAGGTATTTTTGGAATCGGGATGATGTCTACAGGATGAAAATTGACGCTATTTCGAAATCGAAGATGGCGGCTTCCGACTTAAGAAAAAGTGGAAATACAGACAAATACACATCAATATTGACATTTTTGTAATCATTATGAAATCTACAACACGAAAATTGATATGCGACGCCATTTAGAAATCCAAGATGGCGGCTTCCGATTTCAGAATTGATGGCAAATATTGTCAAATACCCATCAATATAGGTACTTTTGGAATCGGGATGGCGTCTAGAGGCCGGAAATCGATATCCGACGTCATTTTGAAATCCAAGACGGCGACTTCCGATCAAATACCTTAAAATATGGTTCTTTTCAGAATGGGGATGAGACGTAGATGCCGAAAATTGATATCACACCGTCTTTAAATCCAAGATGGGCGGCTTTGGTCCAGAGAAACTGTGAAATACTGTCAAATACCGACCAATGTGGGTTTTTTTTGGAATCGGGGTGACATATAGAAGACAGAAATCGGTGTCCGACGCCATCGTGAAATTCAAGATGGTGGCTTCCGATTTCAGAAGAAGTGCCAAATGGCCTGCAAATGCTATCGAATATCGATTTTCAGCATCTACGCGTCGTGGGAATCGGAAAGGTTTCGAAAAATACCCTGATATTAGGGTATTTGACACTTTTATGAAACTTGATGGCTGCCATATTGGATTCCAAAATGGCATCGGATATCGATTTTCGGTATCTACACGTTGTCCCCGTTCCGAGAATAACCATATTGTAGGGTATTTGACACTTTTTCTGCAGGCCGAAAATCGATATCCGACCCGCCAATATGGCGGCCATCGGGTTTCAGAAAAAGTGTCAAATACCCTAATATCAGGGTATTTTTCGGAACCTTTTCGATTCCCACGACGCGTAGATGCTGAAAATCGATATTCGATACCATTTGCAGGCTATTTGACACTTCTTCTCAATGGTTATTCTCGGAACGGGGACAACGTGTAGATGCCGAAAATCGGTATCAGATA